GACTGGAAGTCATGGCAAACATAAGTTTTAACTTCGAAAAACTGCTCAAAAATGTTTGATTCAAATCTACTCTTAACATTTTTGTACAATTAGCAGTCAGTCGAACTATAAGCACTATGAGTATAAGCAGATTATTGTTATTGTTGTTAAAGCAATCACTCGCAGTGATTGGTTTAACAACAATAACAAAAATTTTGATTTTAAGCAAAACAATAAGTAACAAAAAAAAATCTATATACTTATATATATACTTCTAAAATATTCAAAGTATATATAGATTTTAACAAGTTGGAAGTTACTGGAAGAGCCAAGATAAAGTTTATGAAGAAAGATAATGACTAACAGATGACTTGATTAGCAGATTGCAAATTATATGAATCAGGAAAACAAGATGGATGGAGAGAATTATAAAAAACATATTTTTGAGTAAAAAAACTAGGCAAATAAGAACTTTTGGAGCACTTAGGAACAGTCACAGTTAAAGGATGAGACAGAATGTAATGATGAGTAACATAAGAATGAGTTTAAGTTAATTTTTCTTTTTTTTTTTCAAGGCTGCAAGCAACCACTATAAAAGTTTAAAGTTACTGGAAGTAAAAAGATAAAGTTGGTAGAGCAAGATAATGAGTGACAGACAACTTGAAAGATTGCAACTTGTTCGAAAATTGTTGAACGTTTGAAATACGAGATTTTATGACCTGAGAATAACGAGCTTTGGCGTCAATTTATTTATATTTATTTATATTATTAATATATATATATATATTAATAATATAAAAAAGATCAACGATGCGAAAAAAAAAAGGCAAGAGATCGCTATGGTGGTCAAATGTGGTGAGGTATGTAAATGACTGATGTTTCAATCAATGAAGAGAAAAATAACAATAGTTAGAAGAATTGAAGAGGATGGTGACAACGATCCTCAACAAAAAATTTGTAGATTTTTTAAAACAAATATTAATATCATGTTTGAAATAAATATTTATATGGATATTTAGACATGAGTTTTAATAAATAATAATAAAAAACAATTAAATGACGTTTTTAAGATATTAATAATAATTTTTTTCAAAAAGAGCCACGCTATACTACTTATCTTTTAATTAGTAGCGTGTGGTGTTTTTTTGTTGTTGCAATAGGACCATCCGTTAATGAACCGTAATTACCCATCCGTTAATGAATGTTTAGTGCAGACATTTTTATTAAGTTCCCTAAAGTATTTTTAAGGCGGATGGTGGTGTCGAATATAGCATTTACTGTTTCATGGAAAACGCGTGATATTGGCAAGACTTATCTGGGTTTCAATGTTTTAATGAAGTTGTTAATAGCTAATTTGTAAACGCTATTATAGTTTAATAGCGTTTAGTGTAAATATGTCGTTATTTTGCTTTTTATATATTTTTGTACATGATTATTCCAAGGGAGTTTTTGTTGATTACGAAAAATCTACATAAACTCCAAATAGTACGTAAAATAACAGAGTTCTTAAAAGTAAAGATAGATTTCTTTTTTAAATGAGTCATGGGTCTAAACTTTATATAGAGGCTTATGTAATCTTTTTAAGTTTGATACAATGTTTATCAAGAAATTAAACTGTAATCACGTAATTATATCTTTTTCGCCAAAATATTTTGTTTGGGTGAAGAAAACTTTTTTATTGCATAATATAGATTTACATTTATGCATAAAAATCTTTGTTTGCGATACAATAACTTCATTAAATGGTTTTTATGCACGTTTGAGATTTCCAAAAATAATGGAAATGCCCAAAAAAATCTGTATTTAGAAGTATCTTAACTTGTTCAGGAAGATGTTTACATATTCATCTGTAAAAATCTGTATTTAGAAGTAACTTAACTTGTTCAGGATGATGTTTATATATTCATATCTTTTTTTTAACAACATGCTTATACAAAAAAAAAAAACACGCATTTTCTACAAATGATAATGCTATTATTGCAAACCTTTATATTACGCTGAATTTCCTGTAGATGCCAGATTTAGAAGTCCATGTAAATTTTTTTGGAACTAAAGTAGGCTATTCGCGTCCACTAATTTGTGTAGCATAGTTTTTATATCACGACATAGGAGTTTTTATCAATTTCTCAGACGAAAAAAAATTTCATATAATATACATATATAATTTTTTTTTTGTATTACAATTTGCTCAAAACATCTTTGGATTGCTAAATACTACAAAATTTATTGGACGCAGATAACCTACTTTTCACTACTACGTTCCAAAAATATTTACATGCACTTCTAAATGTGGTGTCTACAGAAGATTCAACGTAAAGTAAGGGTTTGCTATGAGAAGAGTATTTATAGCAGAAAACACATGTTTTTTTTTGTAATGTGAATTAAATCAATAAACAAGCATATCGATAATATCAATATACTAGTATATTGATTTTTTTTTTTTTTGCCCCCACAAAGCATCATTCACAGAGCACTGCAAAAGAACATTTAAAGGAAGTTCACGCGAATTTAAAAAATTTCATATAATATACATATATAATTTTTTTTTTGTATTACAATTTGCTCAAAACATCTTTGGATTGCTAAATACTACAAAATTTATTGGACGCAGATAACCTACTTTTCACTACTACGTTCCAAAAATATTTACATGCACTTCTAAATGTGGTGTCTACAGAAGATTCAACGTAAAGTAAGGGTTTGCTATGAGAAGAGTATTTATAGCAGAAAACACATGTTTTTTTTTGTAATGTGAATTAAATCAATAAACAAGCATATCGATAATATCAATATACTAGTATATTGATTTTTTTTTTTTTTTTTGCCCCCACAAAGCATTATTCACAGAGCACTGCAAAAGAACATTTAAAGGAAGTTCACGCGAATTTAACCCTTTATTTAAACTGTGGAAGATTTTAAGTTATATTGATTTAAAAGATATTTTTTAACATTTTATAGGTGTTGAATCATAAAATATAAATTTCGATAAAATAATGCAGAATTTAAAATGTCAGTCATTTTTATGTAAGAAAGAGAGAAAATATCACCAATAAAGACATTTTTAAATTGGAAAAATTAATTTTTGGGCGGTTGGGGAGTAGTTATTGGGCGGGTCCGAACGGAATCAAAGCCTATGTTGGGTTAAAAGGCGAAGGGTTGAATTTTAGCCTTACGAATTTCAATTTTTACATAACATACAGAAGTGAATGAAAGTCACATTCAAGTGAGCTATTATTTCTTACTCAAAAAAGTTACCTTTTCCGCACTTTTTAGGGCAAGAAACGCAATTTTATAAAATATTTTAAATGATATTCTGCTACCTTGAATAATATTCTTTTGATTGTTTTGTTTTGATTGACTGGTTTGATAAAATATAAAAGTTAAAATTTATGTTTTTTTTTGCTAAAAAATTATTTACTTTTTCTAAACAATTATTTACTTTTTTAATGACAACTTTGATCAGCTGCGTGGAGGCGTGAAGTGGTTTTATCTTTTTCTTTAAGAAAAAAAGAAAATGTTGTCCGTTTCCAACCATCTAGCCTGAATTTTTTATATCAGATTCTAATAAAAATGGAATTAATGCCGCTTTTTAATTATTTAAAATAACTGTAGAAAGGAGTTCTCCCTTCATTTTAATTTGTTTTCATGTTGTTTGTTTGTTGAAAATGCATAAATTTAATCTTTAGGATTATTGATTTGGCACAGCGAATCAACCTATTCATTGTACCCCAATTTACTGTGCCCCTCCATAACAAATTGAGTTAAAGTCTATTTTCTTGGGACATAAGTGTTTAAGGAAAGAAAAGTTTAAAGGAAAAGCTAAACTAATAAAAGGAAGCACAATTATCAATATTTCGAATGAAAAACATCAACTTTTAAAATTATATCAACCGTGAACTCCATAACAAACATAAGGAGGGTAAAAATATATACTTTTGTAAGCTAAAAACAAAAATTTACTACCAAAAATCGGTGTAAACAACTATAAATAAAGGTGGCTTATATATGAGCTCATGAAATAATTACATTGTCAAGATAAACAAAAATCTAGTCTTGGAGAAAATGCCTCTTATTCACTGTGCCCCTTGATCCACTGTACCCTAACTTCTTCTACATTTTGTTCTCTAAATATTTTACTTTTAACAATTTTTTTATTTCAGTTGTAAACTATTTAATTTAAAAAAAATAATTTTTTGTTTTGTATTATTTTTTTTGGAAGGGGGAGGGGGTTTTATCAAATGTTGGCGTAATTTTATGGGAGGTCACTGAAAGTTTGACAAGAGGGAGAGGGGGAGGTAAAATTTGCCAAATATTTGTTGACGTAATTAATGGACAACCACTTAGATTAAAATGACCTAACTATGGCACATCTTTACAATTTTGTTTCTAAAAAAGAAGCCACGTTTTTGCAATTTTTCCTAAAAAGATGTTAACAAATAGGTCTTTAAGACAATCATACGCTGTTAGAAATATTTATATTAAATGATTTATATTAATTTAAATTAAAATTTATATTAAATGATGAAAACCTATTAACATAAATATCTTACATGCCACAGGTATTACATTTCAAGAATTTATATTGAAAATGGAACGTGGTAATTGACTTAAATTTAGTCACTTTACCCAACAGGAATGAAACTTACCGTAAATTTAACGGAAAGTGAGTTGAATTCACAGGATACTTTGTTGCATTGAAAGTCAAAGTTAGTTTAACAAAGATAAATTTGGAAAAAAATAAAAAAATAACAGTATTACTGAAAATATTACAAATATATAATAAAAAATTATAACCTTATAAAAAACTTACACAACGTTATCTTTTTGCCTTCTTAAGACAATCAATGTATTTGCTGTGAAAAGCATTTAATAAAACATATCATTTAATATACATAAAATGTATAAAAATTTACCTCATTATTAACTGATAAAAAAATTAAACTTAACGTCTTTGATGTTACTATCCTTAAGCACTTTTAGAAATTAACAAATGTTCAGCTGCTATAATGTTTTTAAACAAATGTGGCTATGAAAATAACCGTTTTTTGAAGTAGCATCATTTATCATTTGTTTATTTTTCTCCCCCAGAACTGGAAAATGGCCTTTGATTTCTTTGCTGAAATTTAAAAATTTAAAAAGGTAATAGTAAGAATTTAATATGGTCTAAATATAACTTAAAATCCTAATAATAACTAATCAGTACATTAAATTTTGTGTAGAACTCAACCTAATTCTAGTAAAGATCTTTAAAGAAGTTTCGTGTAACTATAATCTTATTTACCAAGTCATTAGTTATTTGCAAATTCTCTGTAGCAATCATGACATTTCCAAATTTCATTTTTGTTATCAAAACAACTCTGCTGAATTTTTTCACAATCTCGATGAAACCAATTTCGACAATTCCAACATTGAGCCATTTGCCTAGAAAAGAACTTCTGTATATATATATATATATATATATATATATATATATATATATATATATATATATATATATATATATATATATATATATATATATATATACATATATATACATATATATTTATATATCTTTATATATTATTTTATGCACTCATATATATTTTAAAAAACTAACTTTCCATATATTGTGCCATCTGATGGTGTCCAAACCATTCTACAAGAACAGTATAGCTTTAAAGAAAATTGTTTTGCATTACATGTATGTTTTGCAGAATTTGAAAGTGGAAAAGGTCTCATTACATTTTTTTGCAGGCATTCAAGAACATGAGATCTAAATTTTCTTTGGTTGAACCAAACATCATCGACTGGATTTTTATTGTTCGATAAAATATACTCTACAAAAGCTAATGAAAACAAACCACAATCAACATTTCCTTCTTGTTGATGAACTGGTAATACATTTACTTTAATTGCTGACTTGTTATAACTTAAAAGATAACATATTTGCCTCTGAGTATCTAATGATAAAGATCCTTGAAAATTGCTGTCAAGTACATACACTTCTCCATATTTGCAACCATACGTGCTAACAGCAAGCCAGTGATGATGTCCATTAAACAAAACCTGAACAAATGGTTGAGAACCTTGAACCTTAAAAAAAAGTTTTTGTCCAAGTATTGGATCTTGCAACCCATTTGCAGATGGATGAACTTTTTTAATCAAATTTTGAAAATATTGAATAACACTATCAGACAACATTCTGTTACTTAAAATATCTTCTATATCTATAATTCCTAGTGTATGACTTAAAGTAACTTTTATGTTATCATCACCAGATAAAACATTTTCAATATTTGATAAATCTTCTAAATCTTTAGCTATAGACATAGGAATTGATGTTACCTTCTGTTTATCACCATCAGTTAAAAAGGACTCTGTAATTGTTGAATCTAACAAATCAGTTATAAAAGTTGATTGCCCTGCTATTATATCATCAGTAATAACAAACTCTTGTATTTGTGGTTCTTGAACAGCACAATCAGCTTTGATGCTACATGATGAGAGCAATAAATCTTTTTTTTTCCTAACCTGTGAGAAACTTTTTTTTTTAAGACTAGGTATTTCAACTACTTTTGATAGATTATTGGGTATGTAGTCATTGGCTTTTTTATCCCTAACAGGTAGAGCTTTTTCTTTTTTTCTTGCTCGATATAGAGTTTCAAGAATATCTGATAGTTTTTTATGTAAATCGCTAATTTCTTCAGATGCTTCATCAAAATCATATGTCAGAGTTTTAATTGTTGCTAGCATTTCACGTACTTCTGAAACAGCAAAAGCCCTTTTACAATTAATTTCATCAGAAGGTTTTAAAGATACTGTATCAGGGGTTGAAAGGATAGAGTTAGTATTATTGTCAGTAATATAATTTTCATTAATATTATTTTTTACATGATTGCATTTGTATATGAATGATTCCTTTAATATCAAGTCATTTTTAATGTCAATATTAAGAAAAGGGGATTCCCAATATAAAGTTGATAATGATTGCCAAGACCAAGCCTGTGGATATTTTCTAAATATTAGGAAAAAATGCTTGCACAGGTAGGCTGATTGCGACCAGGCAACACAGGTACATTTTGGCATTGTATCTTTATCTCCAAAATAAACAATGTAGTTTTTATTTTTATCTGAAAAGCTATTGACTTTAAACAATCCATGATCGTTTAATAATACTACATCTAAGTCAGTTTTGTTAGCCAAATCAATTTTCTGCAAACAATGCTTAACAAAATGATGTGGCCTATTATGTAAGTATTCAGGGATGTTGTTACTATAACGTCTGTATTGACAATTCATTTTGAAATTGGACTCTGAATAACTAAAGTGTATAAACAAAAAAAATATATTTTTTCAATTGCATTGAAGTTGAGAACAGTTATAATTGACAATTAAATACTTACTGCTCTAATTTATCTGGAAAGAATTCTTCAATTAACACAGTTAGCATGCCAGTAATAGAAGAGTTTTTATGTCGTTGAAGAAAAGAGTATTTGAATGATTCGTTTTGTCGTTCAATCCCATTGTTAGTATTTAAATTTACTAACAATCGATCACGGCGATAAGCCCATATCCATTTCTAGGCAAAATAAAATAAGTGTATCAATTAAAATTGTCTACATAAGAAAAGAAACATTAATGTGAAAAAAAATAATGCATAAAGACTCAGATAAAAAGTAAAAAAATTATGAATAATATAAACATAACATTAAAATAATGTTATCATTAAGTTATGACATTACAATCGACATATATATTGCAATCGAGATCATAAAGAGAGATTTATTAGGCTTTATTAATAGTAAGGTAAATAACATAATTACTTCTTTAATACTTAACCAATAATTTGTAATATATTTCTTAAATTTATCAAATTTTTCTTCTACCCAAAAGTTTGAGGAATGTAGTGACTCAATAGCAGCTTTTGCCTGATCTTCAGTTTGTGCTGTGGCAACACAACGCAACAATGAAATTATGCTGCCTTTAAATTCAGAACAGCCATTTTTGATTTTGGAAAGCCAGCGATCCCATGCCTGCTCTCTATGAAAATCGCATATGATAACTCGACAAGCTAAAGAATAATCAGCACTATTCATAAAGTTATTAGGCAATAAGTTGTAATTTATTTTTATTAAGTAAAATTTTTAAGCAGTTATTAAAAAAATATTAATTTGAACAGAGATTCTGGACAAATATAAACCTTTTACCTGGAAAAATAGATTGCAAGGATTCTATTTCTTCATTGCAATAATCAGTCATACAAAAAGCAGGGTTAAATGATGTGTTCCAATGCTTTATTATATTTAATGCTTCTGTGATAGACTTCTTTGTTTCGTTTTCAATTACAAAAGTAGCTATAACTTGGTAATCGACATTAGTCTTCACTACTAAAAAAAATAAAGGAAGAGAATACCTTGTAGTTCGATAGGTAGCATCAAGAAGCACTATTTCATTTCCATAACGTAGAAGAAGTTCTTGTTGCTAGAGTGACTGATAAACAAAAAGAAACGTTTCACTGACATTGCTTATGGTTTCGGACTTCGGTCGGAGAAACACGTTTATGGAAGGATCGCATTTTTTCCAGTCGTCACACTTTTTTAGTAGACACTCTTGATCAATCAAAGAATATCTAGGCAATTTAAGATAAGTATGTTATTGTTAAAATATATATAATACACATGCATATATATAATATATATTATATATATATATGTATGTATATATATATATATATATATATATATATATATATATATATATATATATATATATATATATATATATATATATATATATATATATATATATATATATATATATACAGTGCTTGAAGTGAGTTGGGATGCAGCGGGACACCATCCCATCACTTATTTATAAAGTATAAACAATCTTACCACCTTTTTACAAATCTATATATATAACAATGATTAGGCGGGATGGTATTTATTAATTACCGAATACCACCCCATTACTTTTTTTTCTCCACTTTGAGCACTGTATATATATATATATATATATATATATATATATATATATATATATATATATATATATATATATATATATATATATATATATATATATATATATATATATATATATATATATATATATATATATATATATATATATATATATATATATATATATATATATATATATATATATATCTATATATATATATATTTGGACCCTGCAAATCAGCATTTTTAGTTTCGAATAGAAGCAGGTCTTGATTTGCAAATTGAATCGCAAATTGACCCTGGAGCAGCCAAAGGTTTTTGAATCGAAGCAGGTCTTGATTTGCAAATTGAGTCGCAAATTGACCCTGGAGCCGCTAAAAGATCATAAAAAAATGAAAGATTTGCATTTTTGCTTAAAATTACAACATTAAGCAATACATGAAAAATTTAAAAATTATCTTTATATTAAAATTATGATATTATATTATTATATTATATTAAACTAAAATTAATTATTTTATAACTGGTAATCTAATAATTATTGAATTACCTTAACTTTTGTTTGATTTTAACGATATGTGACCTTATTGTATTAACACGAGGGAAGAACCTTCTGTTATTTGGAGGAGGAAGATTTTCTTTTTCAAAAATGTCATTGACAGCAATCCGAAGAAGACGTTTCATCTCTCTTACATTGAATACTCCTTCCATAACATAATCTTCTATTTTTTTGGAAATTAGAGGATCAATACTTTGAGCTATCAGTTCAGCCTTAAAAAAATATATATATATATTGGTTGAATAATTATCTACAATTTAGAATTAAACTATTTTATATTTTTATACTGGTCCAACAAGATGTTTATCATGGCATGATACATCATCAATAGTAACTACAATTGTTCTTATATGCAATATTTCATTCAATGCAGAGGTTTTTAGTTTTTCACGCAACAGTTTTGAGGCTTTATTTTGACGCCATACAGACCTCTCTGATATCTAAATATATAAAAAGTGAGAATCCAATTTTACTGTTTTAGGATTACTTAATACATATAACATATCATTATTTTATAAATAATTTATATACTAAACCTGTACCTTAAAATCAGGAAATTGCAATATTTCTCTCATATTGATTTTTGCAGGACACATAAACTTTTTGGTATCTTGTAAAATAACGTAGTTTTTTTGAAAGCAGTGGTCATCCATCTATAACCAAACAGTTATACAGTACATTTAAAGTAGATTATACATTATATTTTTCAAAACTTGTTTTGATTTTAAAAGTTATTAAAGAAAAGAATGATACCAAAGATTTAAAAGTAATGTATTACGTTAATTTTTCTTTTCTTTTGTTGATATTTTTTTTTTTAATGAAATATTTCGATCGAACCCATGATGACAATCTAAAACTTTACTTGAAACTATTATGAAAGGCATCCCAGAATAAGGAATAGCAAAATCATCCCAAAGTACATTATGAGTCTTGGTAAGAATCTCTAAAGCATAACTTTTTTAATCTATTAAAGTGTAAAAAAAATTTAAATAAACTGACTTAAAATATTTTAAAATATATTATTTTGAACATTTTTATATCAAAAAACTAGCACACCAGTTGCTCCAAAATTTTTATTCGCCTTAAACACCACAAATCGTGTTGTTGTTGCTAACTCATATTTTTTAATATATTGAAGTGCTTCTTCGTGGGATTTACAATGATAAATGAATTGCTTTTTTCCATCTACATAAAATTAATAAACAACTATAAGAACTTTTACGTTTTAACATATAATATATATATATATATATATATATATATATATATATATATATATATATATATATATATATATATATATATATATATATATATATATATATATATATTCATATACTATTTAATGAAAAACATAAATATATTACATGTAATATATGTATATTAGGAGGATTACACGTAATACGTTTATGTACAAAAACGTTATCTTTGTTGTTTAAATAGCCATAAACATGTTTTGACAACAATATTTAATAGGATTAGGTAAACCCTAATAAAAATAGTATAATATTTCATCAACAAAAAAGCACCATTAAATGAAAATTTTTTTGTTGATGAAATATTATACTATTTTTATTAGGGTTTACCTAATCCTATTAAATATTGTTGTCAAAACATGTTTATGGCTATTTAAACAACAAAGATAACGTTTTTGTACATAAACGTATTACGTGAATCCTAATTAAACATGACATATGTCATTTTTAATAAGGATTAAAATGCTAATTAAAAACCTGTTATACTTTCACTTTCATCTGAAATAGTATCTTCAGAACTACTCATACTTCCATTGTTTTCATAACTACTTAATTCATCCATGCTTCTAATTTTTTTAATTAAAAAACCTTATATTAATCTTTAAAATCTTAACTACTTAATGTTTTTTGCGGTTACCACGGTTGTGTTTAGATCATATCCCATTCGGAACGATTATTTTTATTTGCGTATTTTGCCGAACAACATTTAAAAAGTTTACGGAGCAATATTAATAACAACACAAGACACGTGCCTTGTTTGATAGATATATTATTATTTGTTACTAAAATTACTTTATTACGTGGTCTTTATTTCGTTAACTTCATTGCTTTTACAGTGGGTTACTCTATTAATTCATGGATGTAATAGTTCTTTAAGGTTAGTGTTTCTTTCATATACATAATTCTTAATAATATAATAACAATAGTTATATACATATATATTGACAATTTATATTTTAAATAATTTAAAAAAAATATTTAAATATTTAAAAATAAATAAATATACATAATTCTTAATAATATAATAATAATAGTTATATATATACAGTATTATTATAATATTGTATATATATAACTATTGTTATTATATTATTAAGAATTATGTATATTTATTTATTTTTAAATATATATATATATATATATATATATATATATATATATATATATATATATATATATACATATATATATATATATATATATATATATATATATATATATATATATATATATATATATATATATATATATATACATATATATATATATATATGTATATATATATATATATATGTATATATATATATATATATATATATATATATATATATATATATATATATATATATATATATATATATATATATATATATATATATATATAT